AATTGCCCTTCTCTGAATGTCTGCTGGTCAGTGCTTTATTTGGCTTCATGGCTTGGGTTAGCGCAAAGACCTGGGTCTGAGGATTTACAGAAAATTAGTACTGGGGGAAGCTAATATAAAAAAGAGCTTTATTATTATGTAGCATAGCAAACAGGCAAAAAAAAAAAGACACACATACTATGTGGCAATATAGACAGTGCTTTATCTCCATGGATGCAAGAAACTCACCCACTGTGAGATGAAAGGAGATGTATCAGGGCAAGAAGATGCTCAAAGTTGGGGTTCAGGAATGGAAGTTATATACCCTAAAAATGGGCTTGGTGAAGAGTAATTGATGCCAAATTGTGGGGGGAGAAAGGATTCCTAATCAGACCCAGATGTGGTTGAGAAGCTCAGAGCATCACTTATCAATATTTTTCTTTGGCAAGGCTCTCAAGTTACTTTATCGGAACCAGAAGCCAGGAGAGGGTCTGAGTTGACTATTCCCCTAACAGGACTAGGGGATGAAAAGGGGGATGACTTCTGCAGATGGTCAGGATTTTAATGCAATCAGAAGCTGTGAGCATTAACTACGTGACACAAGGTTAGCATAGGCCAGAATGACAGAAAAGTGCAGCCTTATCTTTCTTTGCCTATACACTATATGGGCATTAGGATCATTTAGCCTAAATGACTCCATATTAGAGCCCTTTCATTACAACTGCAACATCAAACAATATAAAAATCACAATTATCACAGTCACACGTGTTCCTCCCATGTATTGTATCCATATTCATTTACCTACCACGTGTGTTCCCTGACCATGTATGCTCATATATGTCTCTCAATGTGGACTCCCTGTATAAGTCTATTCTTCTAACTGATCCTATGTGCATTTTTTGGGAGAACAAATCCCAGTTTTTTGATGAAAATATTATATTGTGCTTCTCTTATTATACTATTTCATTAAGTTCTTTGCTTTTTATATTCAGATGATTATCAAAGTCAACCAAAAGCAGATCCACATAATTTTTTGAACCAGGGGTAGCTGTACATGGTGGGGGAGGGACACACATAGCCCAAAAGGAGCTCTGTGGAGTTGTCCCCTGTTGCTACAGTTTCTTCTATATGTAAAATTATGTACCCTGCTCAAGGTCATGGGCTTCAGTCATTAGGTCAGGACAAAATAGTCTGATCATTTGTATTTCCTGGCAGGTGAGAGTCTACTGTGGGTGTTTCACCAACAGAGCACTTTGAGCTCTACTCTTACTTGAAATTGGGAGGGAATAGAACAGGAGAGCTAACCTACCATGAAACAAAGAAACTGAGGGAGGCAAATAATAAGCACTGTACCTACATTGTAGAGAAGGGGAAAAAGTGGTTAAGAGAGTTTCGGTTACAAACCATGAGTACAATTCTGTACCTATGTGGTATACTAAATATAGCGTGAGAGAAGAAGAATGTTATTCAAGTCATTGGTTAAAAATAATAGTTAAAGTACCCATAAAATCCAACAGCCTTACATTTTGAAAATTAATGGTATCTCAGCTGGCTATGAGCACCCAAAAGGCAATCCTTGCCCAGAAATGTGCCTGAAGGGGTAGATGCATCACAACTGAGGAAGGCAAGACTTTGAAACAATCTGTATCAGATTAAGATAAAAGGAAGCTGGGTGCCCATCGATTGGCGAGTGCCTGAACAAATTATGATATGTGAATGTAATGGAATATTATTATGTCATAAAAATGATGAAAGTGATGGTTTCAAAAATCTGGGAAGACTTGTGTGAAATGAATGGGGTTCAGGAGAATAATTTATACAGCAATAACATTGTAAAGGAAAACAGCTTTGAAATATTTAAGAACTCTGAGAGATGCAACCACTTACCCCAATTCCAGAAGACCAGTGATAAAGCATGCCACCTACTTCCTGTTAGAGATGTGAAGGACCCAAGGTACAAAATGAGACATACATTTATGGACATGGCAAATGGGTAAAAACGGTTCTTTGTATTTTTTTTGACTCTGCATATTTATTAAGAAGGTAGTATTTTTTCTTTTAATTGGGGATGATTTGGAGGAGGGAGAAAGAAGCTAGTGATAGTGTTGCCAAAAAAGGAAAGAAAGAAAGGGAGAAAGAGAGAAAGAAAGGATGGAGGGAGGGAGGGAAGGAGAGTAGAAATAAGGAAGGAAGGAAAGCAAAAGAAAGAAAAAAGAAGGAAGGAAGGAAGGAAAGAAGGACAGAAGAAGAGAGGCATTGAAGTATTTTTTCAAATGCCCAGAAGACAGAAGGATTTTCCGAAGGAATCAAAAAAAGAAATAAGCATGTATTAGGTACTTCCTATTTACAGAGCACAGTACTAAGCACTGGAAACAAAAATACAAGCAAAAAAGAACACAATCCTTGCCCTCAAGGAGCTTAGATTCTAAAGAAACACCGCCAAGCAAGGCAGCTTTGAAATTAACAGTTGAATTTTATATATGACATATACATGTACATATGCATACACATACACATAAATGCATACATAGCTAGATATTAAAAGCAAGCTATACGAAATAGAGATTCATAATTTCCACATATACTCCTGGTTTTTTGTCCCACATGTTCTAATACGGAGAATTAATGTGTTTGTGTTAAGTTCAGTATACAAAATAAAATTTAAAAAAATATGGCAATTAGCCATGGGGAACAAGAATGGGAAGAGAAGGAGAAGGGGAAAAAAAGCACAGTGTTGAAGAGAGAATAATGTGGAGAGAAGTGTTTTGCTTGACCATTGGAGACAGAAGTCTCGCTGACATTGAAGCTGAAGGCACCAGGGGAACTGAGTTTGAAAACTAGGGCAGGAACAGGGGCAAGTACTATGCTCACAGAGGCTCTGGGCAGCCTTCTTGAGGACATTTTCTCTTCCCAGTTTGAGGAGCAGGTGCTACTTTAGCAAGCACACTGGTGTTAACCCTCCTGGGGTCATGTTATCCTGAGTTAAGTTGGGTGACGTCCCCCACTTTCCACTGATACTTTCTATCTGAAAAGGGAGGGAGCAGCTGGACCAAGATCCACCACCTTCCTCATTGGCTTTCCTGTAACTTTGAGATTGTCCCCCTGTAGGAACAGAGAGCTGCTCAACAGCCAGCAGGGCAAAATTCATGGTCTTCATACTTTGCCCTTCCTTTAACAATTCCTCATATTCCTACAAAGTGTCATTTAGAGGCTTAAAACTGCTTCTGGGGTGGGGTGGAGCCAAGATGGCAGAGTTAAAGCAGTGACTTGCTTAAGCTCTAAACAAATTCTAGAGCAGGAGAACCCATAAAAAGACAGAGTGAAACAAATTTGCAGGGACAGAAAGTAATAGGATTCCCAGGTAATGTTATTATCCTTCCATGCCTCCTATTTTTCCTTCTCCCCCTCTCCCCAGCATTTGTTTTCCCATCATCTTCCCCACTTCGTTCTTCTTTATAACCATCCATTTAACAGTTAGGGTCAATTTTGAGCATTTAGTGGACAGCTAACACAATACAAGTTAAGCAGCATGATGTAGCGGGTAGGGAACTATACTTAGATCTGGGAGCAACTGGGTTCAGATCCTGCCTCTGACTAGTTGTGTGACCCTGAGCAGATCACTCTTCCTCATCTGTCAAATGAAGAAGTTGGACCAGATGACCACCAAGGTCCCATCCGATCTATCATCCTCTGATCTCAGGGTGCCCTAAGAGAGATAGAATGAGCAGAGTTAGACTGGGAAGATAATAGTGCCACATTAAGAGAACTGTGTTCAGAATCACACATCAGGAAGGATAGGGATAAACTGCAGAGCATTCAGAGGATGGCAGCTAGGATGGGGAAGGACCTTCCGATCATGCCATACAATGACCAGTTGGCTTGAAGAAGATTAAATCTAAGTAGAACATGATAATTATGTTCAAATATTTGAAGGGCTGTTGTATGTTATAGGGACAGCTAGGTGGCACCATAGTGCTTAGAGCACTGGGCTTAGAGTTGGAAAGACTGATACTGATGAGTTCAAATCCAGCCTCAGACACTTACTAGCTGTGTGACCCCATTTAACCCCATTTGCCTCAGTTTCTTTATCTGTAAAATGAGCCAGAGAAGGAAATGGCAAGCCACTCCAGTACCTTTGCCAAGAAAACCCCAAATGGGATCACAGAGTTGGACATGATTAAAACAAATAAAGAAAGTACTAAACTTACTCTGCTTGATGTCAGAGAGCAGAACCAATGCAAGGAAAATTCAAAGAAGCAAATTTTGGCTTTGATATTACGAAAAACTTCCTAAGTCAAAGCTACGCAAAAGTAGAATGAGCTACCTTGGGAAGGTAATGGGTACCCACCTTGTCCCTTGAAGTCTTCCATCAAAGGCCTGTTCCTTAGAAATGTTGTAGAAGTGATTCTTGCTCCGGGATAGGTTTGGCCTAACTGAAGGCTCTATAACAGAGGCCTGGCTTCTGGAGTCTGCTGAGATTTGGAAAGCCTTTGATTTTGTGATATTCCTCTCCTCTGATCCCTCTTAACATTTACATACTAAGCCTAAATGAGAAAATTATGATCTTTAGCCCAGCAACTTGTCAAACACCCTTCCCAAGTGTAGTTTCCTTCCTCTCAGCACTTTTAAGAGTTAAGGCAACAGTTACTTTTATCTGTTTAATGTGTGTTTTGCTGGGCCTATAGAAAGGATGGGCATTCTTGAACACTTTGCAAATGCTAGTTAAGAATCAGTTAATAAAAAAGATCTTGGTGCACAAAATGCCCATGAATGCCAGTAGTAGTCACATTTAAAAATTCAAACACTGCTTCTCAATTGAAGAAAATGATCCTATTATGTCCTTTTTAAGATTGCACCATTTTAAAAAATCCATGCTTTAAAAAGTCTCTATGGTTTAAACATTTAAAGTAAGCAGGGAAATAATTCTTCTTTATTGACCAATGGTTACTTAACTTCTGATAGTAAAAAGGAAATAGATTTCTCACTGGGGTTACTGTTTTCACTTCCTCATGGGAAAAGGGGACATAGTATAGAAGAAAGGGTGTACATTCATCTCAAGCAGTCATGGGTAACTGGGCAGAGAACGAGGGGCTCTCCATCTTTGTTGTTGTGAGTACAAAATGAAATATTAATTCTTACTTGTTTCTGTTCTTTCTGGAAATGGAAAATAGCCAAGGGTCCTACCCCTTCTCCTCACCCTCAACATGTTCATTCGAACTCCTTTGATTTGCTTTTTCAGTACATGTCTGTTCAAATACCATTTCCATCATTGACATCTTTTCAAGGAAATGTATTTGGGGAACAGTAATTTTTGCCTATTTTAGAAAATGTCTTTAAGTCACTTGAGTGGTTAAATTAATGGACATTTCAGGCTAATGAACCCAGCTTCCAGGTTCTCATGCTTTTTCAAATAGTGTCGCTGTTGCTATTCATGATTTGTTTATTGTCTTGTATAAAATGTAATAGCTAATTAAAATGTTCATATGATCTTCCAAAGTAGTATGGAACTCTCACTAATGAGAATTTTGTTTCTCATGTGAATCACTACTAAAATGTTGAAAGTGCCTAGCTTCTTTACCCTCCCACCCTTCCCCCCCTTTTTTTTTTGCTTACTTTGTCTAAGTTTTAAACAGAGGTAATTATGATAACCTAAGCCAAATAAATTAGCCAGGTTGAAAAATTTTTCTTACTTTCTGAATACATGACTAATAACAGCTGAAATTTTTATAGGCTTGCAAAGCATGTGGGAAGTGAGATTTGAACCCAAATCTTTCTGATTCTGCATCCAATATGCAAGTCACCATGCCAGGCTGCCAAAGGGAGCATCTATAAACCAAATATTTTCTGTGCTACTGTTTTGTTCATTTTTAAATAGGAAGCAATCTTTCCTGCCTTATATAAAAATCTGAAAATAATCAACCGTACCCTTCAAGTGAAATTCATGATGCCAATAAATTACAAAAGAAAGAAAGAAAGAAAAAAAAAAGGTAGCTCTGTAGAAAAAGTGGAGGCTAGCATTTTTGTTCTTCCTTTTGGATGTTTTGGAATTACAAACCAATTAGACAAAAGAGAATCTGTAATGGATAAAAGCAGGTAAAACAGGTTTGCTGAGACCTTGGACCTACACCTTTGATTCCTCATGGCTACCGAGTAACCTTGACTGTGAATCATTTTCATAGTGGCTGGGTTCAGAAGAACCCGGGGCTTCCCCCTAAGCATACTCCCCAAAATGTTATCCATCCAAGTGACTTAAAGACCTGAGACAGGTACAGTCACAGTGACGAATATAAAAAAATAAAATAAATGTTTTTTAAAAAAAGATTGACATGGGAAAAAGAGAAGTAGCTTTTGTTTTTGTTTTATTTTTAAATGTAAAGAAAGACAAGTTTTTATAGTCTTTTGGCTTTTATGGCCTTTTAGTCTTTTATGTTTTTTTATAGTCTTGACAGCTTAAAGGCAGAGCAGAGCAGGTCTGTGGCAACCACAGCTGAGTGTGAACAGCTGAGGGAATCAGAAGTAAAGGACCCCCGCAGGCTGGATGAGTTCTGGGCTGACCCTTATCCTGACCCAAAAGAGCTTTTCATATCTTTATCCCAAGACTGGTCACCATTCCCTTTCTCACTGAGAACCCTGGGCACTGTCCATGTTCTCTACTTCTCCTCTTCAAAAAGTAAATGCAGCATGTGGGAAAAACCAGTGGGACCTTGAGAGAGAAGGCAAAACAGCTACTCTTTCTTTTCTCTCTTTTCTTCATGAACTTCTTGGGCCAAACCCCGATCTGCCCCCTGGACAAGACAACAGCAGTAGAGTGGCATCTTTTTAAAAAAAAATTAGCTCATCTTAAAAGTTTTCTTTTAAATACTTATCTAAAGTCAGTGCCTGGAAGAAAGAAGCAAAGGGGAATGAATTATTTAAAAAAAGATATATATTATATTTTATATTATTTTTATTTATATTTTTATAATTACATTTTTCTGTATGTTTAATAGGAATGTATATGTATAGCCTATATCAGATTGCATGATGTCTTGGGGAGGGAAGTAGGGAGGGAGGGGGAGAAAAATTTTAAACTCAAAAGCTTATGGAAGTGATTGTTGATAAAGCAAAATAAATTAATAAAAAATTATATTTTCTAAATCTATATTTGTATTATTTTATCTATTTCAGTAATAAAGAAAATTGGATAAGCACAATTAAAATGACAGTAGGTGATAAGGAAGAGTGACATAGGAGTAGAATAGGAAAGTGGGTGAGCAAAATGGGTGTCCTTGGTAGAAGGAAGAGAAAGATAAGGAGAAAGAGAACAAGGAGAAGGAAGAGAGGATTTACCTTCACATAGTGCTTTTATTGTTGTTGTTCAGTCATTTTTCAGTTGTGTCCAACTCTTTGTAACCCCATTTGGGATTTTCTTGGCAAAGATACTGGAATGGTTTTTCATTTTACAGATGAGGATATTGAGGCAAACAGGGTTAAATGACTTGCCTAGGGTCACACAGCTAGTAAGTGTCTGAGACCAGATTTGAACTCAGAGACATGGATCTTCCTGATTCCAGGCCTGGTGCTCCATTCTTTGATCCATCTAGCTGCCCCCTAGGTAGTGCTTTACAATTTACAAAACGCTTTGCATTTTATTTTTGCCTTCAGAACAGCCCTATGAAGTAGGTGGCACAAGTGTGAGTAATCCTATTTTATAAATGAGAAAGAAGGAAAGAAACAGGTATTGTGCTAAGCATTTTACAAATATTATCTCATTTGATCCTCGTAACAACTCCATGAAGTAGGTACTATTATTATCCCCATTTACAGTTGAGGAAACTGAGGCAAATAGAAGTTAAGTGGCTTTCCCATGGTCACACAGCTAGTGTCTGAGATGGGATTTGAACCTGAGGCAGGTTTTCCTCACCCTAGGTCCTCTATCCACTGTACCATCAACTGAGGAAATTAAGGCTGAAAGAGACCAAAGGGTTTGCCTAGGGATGTACTGTGTTTTAGTAATCTTGGTGCAGTTCCAGGAGAGAGTTTGTGCTACTTTAGCTGCCCGTTCCCTGGGGATCCTGATCAGAAGTTGACAGGCAATGGTCATGGGGGAAATGAAATTCTTCATGGTATCTACCTACTGTAATACATGTGAATAAATTGTTTCACAAGATTTTCTGTTCTGTGCAGTTTGTGTGGCTGGGCTTAAATGCCTTCCTCTTTGGGTGGTACTACCACGTTTATGAAGGTGACAAATATTTTTATACACGCAAGCTTCTTGGGGTAAGTATGAAGTCTTCCTGCCTTCAAAATTCCTGTGTTATATTCATTGTTCAATATCCCTTTTGATTTTTACTTAACCATCTTCTTCTACTCTGGGAAATGAAATTTTTTAATATAGGGGTTCTTAGCATTTTTTGTATCACCGTTCCTTTTAGCAATCTCACAAAGCCTATAGACCCCTCTTCAACATAATGCTTTTAAATGCATAACAAAATTCAAAAGAATAAAAAATTAAACCAATTATATTTAAATTCAATTATCAAAAAATGTTTTAAGGATCTCAGGTCAAGAATCTCTGCATTAATATAACATACAGGAGTTATAATAATTATATAGAGCGTGGTGCTTTGGGCATTTTTAAAAAAATGAGCCTCAGCAGATATATTTCCTCTTGGGAAGACTTTTCTGTGTGCTGAAAGTAACCTTTATATGACTTAGCAAATAGTAATAGCCAAGTGTTTGAATAATAATGATGAATTTAATAATGATATAAAAACAAGAATAATAAACCTTATATACTATTGACATATTAATAGATCCCTTTGGGTCTTGGGCGTGGCTGGGCCAGGGCAAAAGTCAGGTCGATGAGTTTGTCTTCAGTATTCCCCTTATTGCTGTCACCTTCTGCTTCAGTCCCTCCCTTTCCTTTTCTCTCACAAATAAATAAATAAATAAAATTCTTACTTTCAAGGGTCTGCCTTTCCTGGTTCAGAAGCACACAAAATCTTTCCTTTCTTCCCATGACCAAGACCCAGAACTTCTCACTGTCATGTTCCATGACTCTCTATAACCTTCTAAAGTTACAATTTGTTACTGTGACAGATTAGCAATGGCAGATGAGGAAGTCAAGCCGCCAATGCCTTCCCCAGAAACACAAGGGCAGTTTAACAGTGGTCTTCCATAGACATGGGCCTGCCTTCATTGCTCAATTAAAACCTCAGGTCATGTAGAAGGGTAGATCTTTGCCATGGAAGTCCAATAGAAGATTCATTTTGAGGGAGGTGGGCTTTTGGAAGTTCATCAAATCCCATCCTGTAAATGATTGCACATGATTTTTATGTATGGAAGACCTGCTCCCAGGCATCATTTTTTTTTCCAAAATAAATGGTTTTCCCCTTTCTCCTCATGAAGACTTTGGGGAACTATGACTATACCCAAAAAAACAGGCTAAGATGGAGTTTAGGAACTGGGAAAAAGGGAAACACAGTTCAGAATTACATTTTAATTTCTAGGTCTTTTCTTCATTAGAAATAGAAATGATTCCTCTTGTCTTGAAGAAGGTGGTCGTGAACTGCCGACAGAATTTCCTGTTGTACAAAATGGTGATTCAGGGAAGACTATTGTACTCAGGGAGACCTTCTTTCCGGTCCTGCTTCTCCCTGCCCTCTCTCTCCCAGGTCCTGTGGTTCTTTCAGTGGCTGCAAAGCCCAGAAGACTCTGGGCAACTCCAAGGAAAGGTTCCTAGCCTGATTAATAAGAATTTAGTCTGAGTTAGCCTAAACAAGCATACGGTCTTTAAAAAGGCACCACTTCACATTCAAAAGACCAATCCTGAACTAAATTGCCATCAGTTCAAGACCTTTGGATACCCGTTCTCAAAACTCAACATTTATGCTTTAAAAAAGAAAAAAAAAATGACTACTTCTAGAATTCACCCCACCCCTCTCCCATTGCATTCTAGCCTGCCCTGGCCTTAGCAAGAGCCCCTGCTGCTTGCCTGAATTTCAACTGCCTACTGATCCTGTTGCCTGTCTGCCGAAACCTGCTCTCCTACCTCAGAGGGTCTAGTGCGGTAAGATAAAGAAAAGCCATTTGTTGTATCTGAGCTGTTCTTGTGCCAGGAAGGAATCCGTTGAATTCTTCACATTTTCACATTTTAATGGCCCATTGGTCTTTCCCAGGAGCAAGCCAAACAAGTTTCCTCAGTGAGTCAGTCAATGAGCAAAAATCGTGGTTCCTGCCCTCAAGGGGCTGACATTCTAATGGGTAAAAATTAGACTAGCTGGCTAACTAGCTATACATATAGATAGCTATTCATATATACACTCACATATTCATAGACATATTATGCAAATGTATACATCTCATATGTATGTACATACATAACTGCATATACACGGAGAGATAGAATATGGTATAAAACTGAAGTTACTCTCAGAGTGAAGGCACTAGCAGACTGGGGCCCTGGGGCAGGCTTCCCAAAGAAGCCAGGATTTGAGCTGTCTTTTTTTTTTTTTGGCAATTGGGGTTAAGTGACTTGCCCAGGGTCACACAGCTAGTAAGTGTCAAGTGTTTGGTCTGAGGCCAGATTTGAACTCAGGTCCTCCTGACTTCAGGTCCGGTGCTCTATCCACTGCACCACCTAGCTGCCCCATAATGGGTTTTGTTTTTTTGTTGGGTTTTTTTTGGCTAGGCAATGGGGTTATGTGACTTGTCCAGAGTCACACAGCTAGTAAGTGTTAATGTGTCCGAGGCCAGATTTGAACTCAGGTCCTCCTGAATCCAGGGCTGGTACTCTATCACTGCGCCACCTAGCTGCCCTTGAGCTCAGTCGTGAAGGAAGTCAGTGGAGGCGAAACGTGGGGACGGCCCCTGAAAAGGCTCAGAGTCTAGGGTTGGGGTGAAATAGAACGTAAGGAACGTTATGAACATCTAGTGTCGCTGGATCATAGAGTATATGGAGAGAAATGGGGGATTAGAAGAGTAGGAAGGTAGGAGGGAGCCAGATTGTGTAGGGATTTAAATAATAAATGTTTAAATACTAAAACCAAATTTTATATTTGATCCTGGAGGCCATAGGGAAGCTCTGAAGTTTATTGGAAGTGGGGGAGGGGTAGAAAGTTGACCAGGCCTGAGCTTTGCAGAGACCACAGCGGCAGCTGAGTAGAGGACAGATTGCAATAGGGTTGACTTGAGGCTAGGGGTGGGTCAACGGCTATCTATCGCAACAGCCCAGGCATGAGGTGATGAGACTGTATCAGGGTGGTGGAAGTGTGAGAATAGAGAATACACATCTGCTCATCTACACACATACATAGATGCAAACACACATATTGTGTGTATATTTATTTATTTATTTTCCCCCGAAGTAGAAAGACTTGAGAAAGGCCTGGTTTTTTTTAAGGCCTATAGGATTCCTTGTTTTAACTTTTTCATCTTTATGAGGGCACAATTCAGTTTCCATATTATAGGATGCAATACCTAGCAGAGATTCTTGTCTTAATTTGGGTTGTTTGCCAGGCAGTTTTTATAAACTATAAAGTAGAGGAGGAAATAACCATGTTACTCATTTCCTTCACCATCCATCAGACCCTCCTCTTCAACTACCCCCAGAAGGAAGAATGTTGAGGAATTTGAGATGCTTTAAGAAAATTTATGAAGTTTTTCTTGATGTTGTGATCAATTTCTTGGTTGTGATGAGTAAGCCACACATTAGTAAGTATGGCTTTTTAAACTCAGGATCAATCACTTGCTCCAGGCCCAGCAGTTTGAACAAAGGAGGAACTTAATACACCCTTATTATATAACTGGGTGCAGTTTACATATGACCAATGATATAAGTATCTGCGAGGTTTCATCTCAGCCTGAGGAAAAGTCATGGAATCACCATGGATTGGTTGAAAATTGAACTGACGAGGGGCCTAATAATGGAGGACTCAACAGATTTTTTTTTTAACAGCAAAGACCTCGAGTTACTCTGGGGTGTGTGTGTGTGTGTGTGTGTGTGTGTGTGTGTGTGTGTGTGTGTGTGTGTGTGTGTGTGTGTGCTGGTAAATGCTTAACGACTGTTTCAAAAAATAATGTGAAAGACACACTTTTAAGTTTAATTGGATTATTAACATTTTTCTCTACTGTTACTCAAATCTAAACCAGAGGGGTCAAACATGCAACTGTTGCAACTGAAATTTAACAAGGTAAACTGAAGCAATTCTTTGGGCAAGATAACATTTATTAACAGGGGCGTGCTGCTTGCTAATGAACAGGTCAATGGCTTGCCTTCCTTTATGCCAAAGACTCCAAGCAGATGGACAAACACCCCTTTTTTAGGTTTTGGGGAAAACAGAACAAAGAACAGAACAAGGTAAACAACATTATGAAACTGGGGACATGATTGGTTACCAAGCTGAAATGCAGGGTGCTACTTAATTGGTTGGAAGTTTGGTAGTGGAGGCTAGCAACAACCCTCCTTCTTCTCCCAGGAGACTAAGAAATGGTTATTGTCTGAGTCCAGGTGCTAGATAATGGGCTAGACATTTGGACAGCAGACCAGACATCCTTGAAGAATAGCTTGGTAGTGTAAAGGTATCAGGTCCTATTCCCTTATGTTCACTCACATCCCCCAAGGTCAGTTAAATTCCTTGAGGCAAGAATAGGTGAGCTGGATTGCTAATTAGAAGTGATTAGCAGGAGAGCCCATTACAGGCCAGTTGAATTTTCCAACTAAATTCAGAGACAAAGAACCATGACTCTTAAGGAGTTACAGGACAAAACTGATTACAGGACAAAATCAATTACTTATAAATAGGATCAATAAGAAAATGATACAGAATTGATCACAATCTTCTCACAACTCATAGCCCACAAGACTCCTGAATGTGGTCAAAACTAGAATAAAATAGAATTGCGAAACATTTAACAAGATAAGTAAAAATGCAATAAAACATAGCTAATACTGCATTTTAAAACTAAGTCAATATGTGTATCGGGCACAGATTCTTATGGATGGGTTAGTGGCCCCCCTTTTTTATTTCAGCTTGATGCAATTGGTCTAGACAATCAACAAAACAATAAAGCAAGCCCTAATTTGTAGGTTTGTTGATTTATGAGATATAAATGTTCACACTGAAAACTGAGCAATTGACTTTCCAAAACCCATTGGAGCACACCCCTGCTCCAGCTCCTCTTTGAAGATGCGTTCTCCTTCCTGGTATTCCCCCACCCCCCGACCCCCAACACCTCCCCCCTTATTTTCTCTCTCTTCTGATAATCTATGCTAGAGGAAGTGAATAATGAGAAACAGACAACGTTTTCATCAGGGTAGTCCGTGAAGAAATCTCTATTACCCCATGGAACTAATTTGCAATCCCAGTGCATTCCTCATTGTAATCAAGAGTGAGGAAGGGAGAGAGTAGCATAGAGAGAGGAAGAGAGACAGAGACAGAGATAGAAACAGCAAGAGAGCTCCGGACCTGTGAAATTCCCAAGTAAGGAAACTCTATCAATATAGGGTGGCATCTTTCCAACAATTAATAGTCCAGTTGTCCAGAGCACTGAGAATCACGGTGTGTCCAGGATCACACAGCCAGTATGTGTCAGTGGCTGCCTTTGAACCCAGGTCTTCCTGGCTTTGAGGCTGCCTCTACATCGACTACGACGATAATAGGAGCATGGTGTCATGGAGTGAACATTAGCCTAGGAGTCTGAACTCTGTCCTAGGCCTGGCTCTGCTGATAAGTAGATGTATAGCCCTTGGCAAAGTACTATAATCTACCTGAGTCTCAGTTTCCCCCTTTGTAAGATGGGGTAACAATAATTGCATTAAATGAAGGAGGCTGGACTGCTGGATCACTCTAAGTCCTTCCCAATTCCAAGATCCTATAATTGGGGGCTCAAAGACAACCTTACCTCAGGATAAAGAGGGGCAGTGCTCTGGGCACTGTGCTTTGGAGCAGGGTGAAAGAGGGAGAATTGGAGGCCAGCTGTTCTGACTCAGTAGGAGAAGTTGACCTGAACTCAAGATTTCTGACTTTTCATCTAGTTATCTCCCTAGCACTCCAGGCAGAAATGGTGCTGGTATGGAGCCCTGCCATGAGCAGTGTGAAGACATATTTCCCTCATTAAACTTTGAACTCCTTGAGAGTAGAGATTTTTTTTTTTGCCTTTCTTTGTTTCCTTAGAACTTAGCACAGGGCCTGGCACATAGTAAGTGCTTAATAAATGCTTGTTGACTGACTGACTTACAAAAAGTTCTGTTACTCCCTCCTTAGTGATGGAGGGGAAGAAGCTATGTGCCCGGGGGAATGTGTTTCTGACAACCAGTATATCCAGTAGCCTTTCTTTGGGCACAGAGAATACATGAGTGCCAGGCCAGTTGCTCTGACTTATTAGTGAATATTGGTTATTTTTTTCATAAATCTAATGTATTATCTATTTCCAGTTTATTTTTCAACATCTTGAATCCATATAGACCCAGGTGAGATAATATTTATAAAGCACTTAGCATAGTGCCTGGCACATAGTAGGTACTATACAAATAGTAGTTATTATTATTGTTGATGTTGTTGTTATGTATTGCCTTTACACAACAGAAGGCTTCAAAAGATCTCTTATTTTATAACTGTATCCTCCATCCACCAATGCACATTAAACCTCTGCCACACTATTCAGTATTCACTACTCAGGAAATTTCATGAGTTTTAGGGGGGAAAGAAATAAATAATCTAGTGGCCAACCTTTGGTTAACAAGGTCATCCCTGCTCAGTATGACTGTTTTTACACTCACCCTTTTCCAGGCCCATCCTCAGAGACTTTTCCACTTTGTAGGACCTTCCTGGGTTTCTGTCCTACTTGTATATCCCTCAGAAAACCCAGGGTCATCTTTTTAAAAAGTTTACCAGAGTAGGACTTCAAATGGAATTTCCCATCTACGTCGCTTAAATGTCCAGACATGTCATTTAGTATTTTAAACCAGACCTTGGAAGCAACCCTCTGATGACTTTCAACACCACATGTGCTTTAAACTCCCCACCAAACCTAAGGATTTTTTTCTTCAATGAAAGACTGGGGGGTTCA